TGTGCAGAATAAACCGACACTGCAAACTGTCTAGTACATCCATGTTCAAATTTTTTTTTTTTTTTGGTAGAGAGAAAACCGCATGACACACTCGACCTGTCAACACATGACCGACCCGACCGAACGGACGCCTTGCTTTGCCGTCAAGACTTCACACTCTCGCCTTTCCCTGTTTTCACTCTGTGACCACACTGGAAGGATTCGCATCTGACATGGGGGAGGGACGTTGCCATGTATCGTATATTATGCATGCAGTGCAAGGCAATGGCCAGAAGAATATTCAAAGCATTTAGCAACTCATTGTCCCTTTCACCAGGCCACACAGCTTCAGCTTCAGATTCAGCCAGATTCCAACAACAGCAACAACCAGCAACAAGACGTTGACGACAACCGAAAAATGTATTCATGGCCCCCAAAATTGTATAATTTAAGTTTTGCACATAAAATCACACCGCAAACTTGGTGAAGGCCCGAAAAAGCGAAAGAGCGGCAACAAACACTCAAGTGAACTGACATAGATATGTATGGGAAATATGTACATACATTCGTACATACATGTGTACATATGTGGGTGTTCATGGGAATTTGTGTGTGTGGCGGAACTTACGAGTAGCTTGGGCCTGAAATGGAGAAATTCTTGTCAGCCAGGGCTGGAGAAGATTGCTTGTAGGGAAGGCCACTCCCTGTACTTTTTCCTTTTCAGTACTATTTGATAATGATGTACACTGGCACAATGATAATCTTCTGTGTAAGAAATTACTTACTCAAAATATGATTCCAAATGGAGACCTAAAAGATGACTCCCCCATTATCTCCGTCTTATCTACACTCTTCATGTCCCACACTTACCATCGCCATCTAGCTAACTATCTTTTTAACTCTTCAACTTTTGTTTCAAAGCTTAAACTTAACAATTTCCAAGCCCTGAATCTCCGACTATTCCCATTTTCCGCAGTGGCTTCCCTTTACCCTTTCCATTACTTCAAGACGGCCGCCTCTATTACACAGTTGAGCACACAACGAAACCGAATTGCTTGGACTCCCTTCGTGCTCCTTCCCCCCCCCCCCCCCCCCCCCCCCCCCCACACACACACACACACACATCAAATTTAAATATTTTAAAGAGGAAACCGGACGCAGGGCACCCCCAACCCATTCCAGGCGGGCACAAAGTACAAAACTTGTGTGCCATAAAAATGATATAAAATTGCACAAATAGCATTGGATGCGATACGGAGATACAAAATACAGAGCCGTAGCCGTAGCCGTGGCCGTATATGAAAGTGATGGAAGATTCTTTCTCAAACGAGGAGCAGCATATCTGCTGACCTAAGTGCGTGTGCACACGAACTTTAACGAGTGTGAATTGCTGTAAAGTGTGTCCTGTCCTGCTGGAAGTCCTTTGCGGAGATGTGAGTGTAAGTCATTGTCATCGGTCGTTGCCGGGAGACTCATTTGTTGGGATATCTCTGAGCTGCTGCCTTTTGTAACCTTTTCTTTTGGCTCACAACAGCAAAGAAACTTGATTTCGTTTTAATTTTTCCCTTCTCTTCTTGGGCTGAGCGGTGACAACACCGAAACACACACACAAATCCAGTAAAGTTATGACACTCTGAGGGTTTTGCTTCGCACGCTCCATTTTCTGGGCGACAAATTGCTACCGAAAAATGGTTTACCAAAAGGAGTTTTTTGAAGGTGTAATGACCCTTTTAAGATGCACCACTGCCCTGAGAGTAGTGCCCAAGTTCTGTGGTCATCTGGGGAGACATTTTGTGGGTGAAAGTTCTAATTAGAATGCCAAAAGCTCATGCATACAATGCCTCATAAATAATGTATGTGCCAATGAAAATGAATGTGAAATTTAAATAATACAATTCAGTCGGTAAGAAAATCTCCTGGGGGAATCACACACACAAACACACACACACACACACACACACACCACACACAATCATCAATCGACATTTTATTCGGGACTTTAATCGAATTCCAAACCCAACTATTTCGGCAAAAGGTTTCCTCTCAACGCTTGCGGGGCAGCTCCTTCACGCAAAAGGGTAAATGAGTTTGCATAAAATTTAAGTGAAATCATTCTACACCTGAGATTTAAACCCTCAATGCCGGTGTGTGTGTGTGTGTAAAACCTCAAGGATTATTATACTTGTGGCTGGTGTTTTGGCTTTCATTCGGAATGTGCTCATCAATCTGTCAATTTAGGACAACAATTACGCTAAGTGCGTTGAGACGTTTACTAAGCCAATCAAAGGCTTATGTCGAAGCTTGAATTGTCTTTTAGCTTGTCAACTTTCTGGGGGGAAAATTTGATGTTTTTTCCTTTAAATATATGATTGTCTTTTTTGGTAGACAAATGAGTTTGCTTTTCCGGCTTCTCAACTGTCAATTATGTGTTTAATGTGCTAATAGAATGATATTTTAAGGCATAAGTTGTGTCCCCAAAACGCTTGGTAAACTTTTCCCATTCATGACACAAAACCTACACCTGTGAATACTGCCTCGCACTTTTTGGCTTCCAAAAATCATCTGCACATCCTGGACTAACCCACTAACACAGCACCCACAAAAACGACAACTTTAATTAAGTGAAAATTATGATGTTCGCTGGCACAGCACAAAAGGTTAAGCACACTTGGTGGTCACACGTGGCCATGAATAATGTAAAATCTCAGCTAATTAAGCCGAGTAAATGTATTAACAACAAACTTTGCCCAGGTCCAGGGGGTTTTCGCAACTGAAAACTGCAATATTCTGCAGCTACCGAAACCCTGCCAGTCCGGCAACAATTTGGGCAACATATTGTTTGTTTTAATTAAGTTTTTTTCTATGTTCCAAATATTGTATGCAACGTAGAGGAAGCGCCGCAGCAGCAGTGGCATCCTTAGGCAACGCTAGAGGAAACAGCAGCAGCCCTTATGATTCTGAAAGTGAAACATGCAATTATTTTAATAAGTTGGTAATAAAAAACTTACTAACTGGCCCATTCATCCAAATCTTGGTAATCTACATCCGGTTCGTTTGCAAATGGATCCCCATCGTGCAAGGTTTGAGCTGTGATCTTCAGCAAAAAGATTAGAAATATAAATAAATCCATTTGTTTGTACACAATTATTTACTTAAAATATTTGAGCTTGCTTTCTATTTTGATTTTCAAGATATTTACTTAGTGTCACTAGACCCATATTTTATTGGACGTAGGCTCAAATATATATTCTTCCATCTGATGTCCCACGTTTAAATCGAGTGTAAATATTCTAGTAACCAAAGGACCCTTGGGGATTGGCCCTGGGGTCTTTAACATGACAGAAAATATGAATTTTTATGTTCTGCCGTTAGTCGAATTACGTGTTAAATGTACATCGTTTAAACGCTGTTGGCAGCGCTCAAGGGTTACATTTTAAAGTATTATAAAATGCAGCATCAGTGTCCAAAAGTATATTGCTGCTTCTCTGCTGCTTGGGTTTTTTTTTGCGAATTTAACAATTAGCTGGCGAAAGGCATCTAATAACTGGCCCATTCATCTACATCTTCATAGTCCGTATCTGGTTGGAGTAAAAACGGATCCATAACAGGAAAGGCTACGCCTCTGATCAACCGCAAAACGGAGAGAAATACGAAAATACACAGAACGGGCTTCATTATTACACAATTTAGTGTTTGAGTTAACAAGAATTCCAATAAATTGTGAGCTTCGTTTTAAACAAACAAATAAAATGTTGCTACAAATAAGAAAAATAATTAACAGAAGGCTCAACTGATCAGATCCAGCATAAAAATCCAAAAAGCGATTCGCAAATGTCTTCTTCATGTGTCTCCTCCACTGGATCCTCGTTTGATTCCTCTTCATTGGGCCAATCTTCCACTGTTGGTGCAACTGTCATCCCAGTGGTTTCCTGGCTGGATTTTCCAGTTGTTTCCTGGCTTGTCTCTGTCGACACAGTTCCGATTTCTGTGGTTACTGTGGTCACGGTGTCTGAAGTTACTGTCTCAGTCATCACTGGTATCTCGGAAATCTGTCTATATTGTTTATTTGATTGCTTCCTCAATGATCCCACGTATGAGTCCTGGCTGGGTCCGAATTCATTCGATTCTCCAGATGATTCTTCACTTCCCAAAATTTCGTCACTTGCTTCATCAGAATATAAGTCAGATGCCTGTTTTTTTGCTTCCCTGGTATCCTCCGATAAGTAATTGGCGGGTTTCTTCATTAATTCTTTTGTTTTATATCCAGCAACGCCCTCGCCAGCAGGCAAACCGCCTTCAGGCCTGGCCACAACACTGGCAGCTAGAACCAAGAAAACGACGCAAAATCTTGCAACTCGTAACATTTTCTACTTGTTAATGGCAGAATTATGAAATGGTTTTTTACTATATATACTGAATGCTCCTAAAATGAAGTGAAGTCCACACGTAACTGGGTTACGTCAAATATCTACTGTGATTTATTCCAAGCAAATTCCTTGGCTCACGTTTTGTCATAAACTGAAATTGCTTCGCATATTCGAAATTACTTTAACGATAAGAGATTTTTACTTAGTCGAAGGGTACACTGACAGAAAAATGGCATAGTGTTGAGGAAACATATGACAAAATAATTGTAGCATGAAACATAATAGTATTAAACATGATTTAAAAATAAAATGAATAAGTTTTAAACGAAATATAAAACACTTTAAAATAATTCTTATATATTTAGTGGAAAATGTACTCGAATTTAACTGAAACATGAAATAATTATTTATTTTAGGTATGAAATATATTTAAATTAAACATTTCTGTATGCCAAAATGCCAAAACTTCCATATAAATATATTCACTCTCGGATTCTCAGTGCTTTCGTTCTCCGAGTGTACATATTTCTATGCAATATTCTCCTTATTTTAATGAGGTTCACTCTCACTTTCCGAGGTACAACGAATGGGGAACCCATTAAAATACAAATTGAAAAAAAAAACCAACTCAAACCCAAGAAAATCCCCCAATCCTTTCATTTCGTATTTTAACAATAGTTTATTCACAGTTCTTCCATCTCTTATTCATCTGTTGAGTTGTCATCAACTTCTTCGGGATCCGGTTCCATCTGCCATCTGTGGCCCATGGCGTATGGTGGCTTGGCATAGGTCTTCACATAGAATGTGCCATTCTTGGGTATCGATGGCTCTCCGCCCATGCGGAACTCACCGTCGCTGAGCAGCAGGATCCACGTCCCATCCGCATGACGTTCGGCACGTGGACCCCAGAAGCCAGCCGGACTGATCAGCGACTCCATAAAGTAGTCGTGGGCCCGCTTGTGGGAACAGCCGTAGACATAGCATTTCTTCTGGTTCTTGCCGTAGTTCGGATAGAAGGTGGCATGCCCCACGGGCTGCTCGAAGCCCAGACTGACACTCGTCTGGATGGACTCCACGTAGGAGGCATCACTAGCATCGATGCGGTAGTCATCTGTTTGATCACGGAACTTGGGACCCGCCGGATCCAGCGCATAGATCGTGTTGAACCGGAACGGCTGTATCTGCTTGCCGGCACTGCCCGCGATCTGTGCCCCCAGCGAGTGGCCAATCACATAAACATCATCGTAGTGCAGATCGGCATTCAGGTGCAGATAGCGCACTAGATCGGCCAGCAGGAAGCCCATATCCTCTACCATATTGGCCACACCAAAGTAGTTCACATTCGTTGAGACTTTGCTCCAATCGCAGACGATGACATTGAAGTCCTCGTAGCGCGCGGGCTCTCCATTCACTCCCGGATGGGTGAGACTCAGATATGCGTTCTTCACTTTCCTTATATGCGAACCCTTGCTCTGACTCATCCAGCCGTGTATGACGATTCTGCAAAATAAGAAACAATGAAAACCCTTTGTTCAAAATCCACCAAGTCGAATTTCTGCCTCACGTGTCAACCAATTATCTTATCTCTATTTTGCTTGTAATGCCAAATTGCTGTCACTATTTGACTCTATTTCCCACATTTCAGGGCTCCACATATTTACGAGTATTTTAATTGCTAATTAAAATGTTTCCAGAGCAAAAAGGCCAAATGGCAATGACTCAATGCGATAAGCGGGGGGGCCAAAAATAAACAACAAATAAAAACCTGTTTCGTCTGTACGCTCGACCAAAAAATTAATAACATTTAGCGACAGAAGTTGGCAAATATTTGAATATAGTATAGAAATCTAATAGAAAACATTTAACTATTATTCTGTGACGCTTGTTGGCAGCAGCTTTCAAGCAATTATTTCCACCCAAAATGAATTTCCAAAGTACAAAATGTACACCCCCCCCCCCCCAAATGTATAAAAGTTCCCCCTGCTACAATCACAAACATTAATCTTTTGAGGAAATCCCCCTCGGTCGGCTTACCGTGTCGGGTGACGTGCATTGAAGCCAGACTTTTTCAGATTTTCCTTATTGTCGATGAGCAATTCCCTTCCGCAATCGGCAAAATCCCGCTTGAAGAGTATAAATTGCATTTTACTCCTCGAGCTACCCACAAAGGGTACCAAGTTTGTGAAGAACTTCTTCCAGAAAGAGGGATCAACGCCAAGGGTCTTGGTTTTGATTAGCGTGTAATTGCATTGAGGAGATAACTCCATGGATAGCTCTGTGGGTGCTGCCTCTGTGCTGGTGCTGGTGGTCGTCGTAGGTGATGCTAATTAAGTAGAGCCAACACTTGTTTAGATTATTCAATTATGGAGTTACATACAGGCACCATGAACTTACCCACTGCTAGAGCACAGAGTGCCACAGCACCAACGACTGCGATCAGATTCAGCTGCGAGATCATGGCTGTTTGTAGATCGCCCTGGGGCGCCTGAGAGCTCGTATGCGTGCGTTGCTCCGATCTGCCGATCTGCCGAACTACCGATCTTCCACGTACACTCCGCACCAATTTAGTTTGTTCCCCGCTCGATGAGAGCCTCTGACCTGCTCAATGGTGCGTGCACAACTGACAAAGCGCTCTGGGCTCCGAGCTGTGACTCTGAACGATCGCCGAATCGCCAAACTATGGAGAGAGATAAAGCGTGGCGACGTCATGTCTACCCTCGCTCTCTACCTCTCTACCTCTCTATCTCTCTCTCTCTCTCTCGCCTCTTTCCAGTGCCTTTTCTTCGTTCTTGCTCTGCCTCATGATAATTGTTTGGGAGCGTTTTTCGTTACAAAGTGTTAATTGCTAATGACAACGATCATCGACAAATGATAGCCGATCTTTGCGAAAATATAAAAGGCAAGGGGAACCTTTTTGGGCCTCTACGGTTGGAAAAACATTAACAATTTGTCAAGATCGCTTATTGATATAAACTGGCTTAGAAGTGAAGTTCTTAAATATTGTAAATATGCCAAAGAAATGTAAAAAAGTAATCCAGAAAATCCAACCCACTCCCAATTAACATACCACTTACCTTTGAGTACATCCCATTTTTTAAACGCTCCCTTCGGGCCATATACAACGCACCCAAAACATGTTTCACTTATTAACAAAGTAAATAAAAAGCAAATATAAAAAGTGTTCTACCTAGCAATCCTTCCCCACTCTGATAAGTTAATTACCCCATTAAGTGGACCTGCAATAAACTCAACGAAATTAAAAAAGGAAACGAGTGTAACCCCCTGAAGCATTAATGAGTTTTGGTTTTTCCAATCCTGGGGCAAACATTTTTATGGTTGTCAGTCAGCAAATAATTATCGCATATACCCCAAGGAACGGCGGTTAAAGAATCCCCGACTCGATCGTCTAATTGCCTGGCCCCTAATCACATTTGAAGCTCGTTTAATTATTCCGCCCCCCGAGTACATAATTCATTAACTTCAAACTCAAATGAGGCGACAAATTTTCAGTCACTTAGCCCAGCCGCCCAATCCTTCTCTCAGTGGCAGAGGCCGGGGGCACTCTCTTTTGCTTTTGCCTCATTTCGTGGCACACCTGAGCAGCATTATAATTATGCAAATTTTCGGCGAGCAGCCTTGTTGATTAGAAAATCCGCAGAAAATGAAAAACGTAAAACTCTTGACACACGGACCGCCAGGCTGAGGTGCAACCAAGGGACTTTCCTTTGCCCCTCCTTCAGGCATAAAATCAATCAATATGCAGCTGCAGAAGGAGCAGGAGCAGGAGCAGGGCAAAGCCAAAGGCCATAACAAACACATCCTCGTTCCCTAATGAATTTTGGCAAACCACCAATTAGATGTTGAAAATTAATTGGCAATGCCTCGGGGCCAGCCTCAAAATGCAAATGGATTCTGAGGAGAGTTCAAGGAGCAGAAATCTGAGTTCTCCGCATTTTGGCTTTGACAATGATGCTTATCTGAGTGAGACACGGCTCCAGGACATTCCGTGAAATTCTCTCTTTGCGTCTACAAATTTACTGCACTTTTGCGCTATTTTCTGGGAATTTTCTTTTATTTTTTTGCTATACTTTTTTTGGAAACCTTTGTCAAGTGTCGCAAAAGTTTTTCCCTCTTTGGCAAGGCGGAATTTTCGTCACAAACTGTTTGCCGAAACGGATTGGAGGGAGAACGGTCCATCGCCTGGGGGAGGTCTTTGTTTTCCACCCGAAATGGTCGTTTGTCATTAAAGGTTTTTGCCTTAAATTGCGTTTGAGGAATCTAAGCTTGAAATCTGGGAAAGAGAATGGAAGATAGAGATTATAGACTACTCAAGAGAGCAATAATTATATAGACACCATTTAGTGGCATTCTCTTAACTAAACATTCAGCTTTCGTCTTTATTATTTCACTCACTAATAAGTTGTACAACTCACTTTGATAATTTGTAGATGATTCCATTCAAAGTTTACACTGTGCAGGCCAAAAACATTTTTAAAACCCTACTCCAACCCGAATCTATGGTCCAGTAAAGTAGACTACTTCACCTTTTGCCAACTTTCAGCAGAGAGAGCGGTCCCAAAACTTTCTGACCAAAAACCGAAAAACTCTAAATCCTCAACTAACATTTTTAAGCATAACAAAGTACGACGAGATTTGGCATATAAATCTTAACGCCGTTTTTGGTTTAGTCAGGCATTGCCATTGCCCTCCCCCTCACCCAAAAACGCTTATTATGTAGTTCAAAAAGGGGTGAAAAGCACCCAACACAGTGGGGGTTTTGACTGGGGGTTGGCTTTGTCCCAAGGGCTTTTTAGTTTTTGGGGACGCTGCGACGGTGACTGCAACTTTTTCTATTGACTTAATGCAGTTGGAAAGTGCAACGAAGTGTTGGCTGTAGATTTTCGACAAATGGCAAACGGGCTACTCTTTGAACTTGGAACACAGAAAACTTTAAGGCAGGCAAGAACAGCGGCAAGATAAATTTACGAGCTGTGCGTTCTCATCTTTAAGAACTTACAACATTTCTTAATTTATGGATAAGCTAAGATCAGTTACAGATATCATTAAGGATATCAATTTTGAGGATTTTCCTTGATTCGTAGAAGGAAAAGTTTGTTTCCTATTAATTCTACCGGGTTCCAGTTCCAATTCCAACCATTGTGATCTCAGTTACCCAAGCAAAATCTTTACACTTAGCCATAAACAAAATGTAACTTCAGCCATTTCCAGTGTGTCCCTCCAATGAACCGAAAATGGCATCTGCTGGCTCTAAGTCTTGTCGTGGGCTTGACCACCGTCGGTGCATCCTTTGCGGCAGGTTTTTACACTCATCATGAGTTTGCCCGTCGAAGATTGCAGCAGTTGATACAGGAAGATCCCTATGCCTACTACATTAGTCCCAAAATCTATAAAGTGGTAAGGGAGGGAGCAGCATCACTCCATCAATCATCATCCTAATGCCAGTAGTTTTCCTTTTTTAGAACTAAAGAAGAAGCGGATCATCGCCTGCGGCAGATTATGAAGTATGGCTTCCCGGGTCTAGATGATTTACGGCTATACAGTGACTTTGTGCTGTCGTACGATCGACGGAATCGTGTGGCCCATTGGGTGTGCGAGCATCTGCAGGTGGACACACTGCAAGCCAGCCAAGGGAATCGTGCACGCGCCACGTATCGACCGGATCTGAGTGTGCCCTCGAATTTCCGATCCACTCTGGCGGACTATCGACGATCTGGCTTTGATCGCGGTCATCTGGCGGCTGCTGGCAATCATCGTGCACTCCAGAGCCACTGCAACGAGACCTTCTTCCTGACCAACATTGCACCACAAATAGGTCGTGGCTTCAATAGCGGCGCTTGGAACAAGCTGGAGATCTATGTGCGGGATCTAACCCTTCGCTTTGGATCGGTCTACGTCTGCACGGGTCCACTATACAAGCCCAAGCAGCGCGCGGCTGGCAAACTCGGCGTGGAGTTCGAGATGATTGGCTTGAATATGGTGGCCGTGCCCACGCACTTCTTCAAGGTCATCATGGTGGAGTCGAAACTGCCTCTGGGTAAACCGTATATGGAGGGTTATGTTCTGCCCAATACTGCGCTGCCAGATGGCCTCGATTTGCGCTCCTTCCTCTGCGACATCCGCGAGATTGAACACTATGCGGGCCTTAAGTTCTTCGATGGCCTCCGAAATGCCATCTTTGCCAGCAATTATCCAAGGGAATCTCAGGTTTTTCGGGTTTTCGGTTGACAAATAAACTGAGGTGGAAGAATATACCGTACAAATATACCGCAATATACTAACAAATCAATTTTGACACAAAATATACTGAAACGTCGCATAAACAAAAACAAATTTTGTTGTCTAACTTGACTTTGGCAAAATCTAGTGTGCATACAAAACAATCAATTACAATTTTCCATTAATTTATTATTATAATTAATAGCAAGATGGCCACATGACGTCACAAATCATTATTACACGCACCACCTTCACATGCAAACACAGTGCGTTTACAGACAGCGCGAACAGCTGATGACCAGTGGGACCGCACATTTATCTATCAAAAATACCCCGTACAGGCGACAACTTTACGTGGCAAACAACTGTCAAATGGCTGCAGCAAATGGGGGAAAAAAAATCGAATTAGGGAACTGACGTGGAAGTTCGTTTTTGCTTGCAACTATTTTACGCTTTTAATTGCCCTTCCTGTGCCGTGGCCAAGGAAAAAGCCAGCGGAACGATTCAAGTGCAACCAGCAGCGGCAGTCAGTGGACAGAAATTGTCCCAAATAAGCCAGGAAATTGTGTTTTTGCCTTGGCGAACTTTGAGCTGCTGCCACTTCTCCTTTCTCTACTCTCTGTGTGTGAAAGTTGTTGTCTGTTTTAATTGTTGGCTGAAAGTATGAATCCGAATATGTACGGGCCGCCGCCCACGCAATTCCAGCCACAGCCGCCGCAGCAACAGCAATATGCAGCACCACCGCCTGGGGCTGCGCTCGGTGCACCTGGTGGTTGGCCACCTCAACAGCAGCAGCCGCAGCAGCAGCAGCCGTCGCAGCCGCCGCAACAGCAACAACCACAGTATGGAGCGCCACCGACATCTTCAGCGCCACAAACGTACCTCAATGGCAACTATCAACAGCAGGTACAAATATAAAATCCCCTTCCATTGATCTCTTCAATCCCTCGCCCTGATAAGCTTTCCTCCATTCATTAAAAAGAGGTCAAACCAACCGATTTCGTAATGCGTGGTGGAAGAGTGGAAGCTGTGCTTGGAGATAACGAAAAGTATAATTAAAATTGCTTTAACATGTTCCTCCGTTTTCCTCCCATCTAGCTGGCCACGTCGATGGGCGGCCTAAATATGGGTGGTGCTGGTGCTGGTGCTGGTGTGCCGGCGCCTCCTCTGAAGATAGCCCAGCAGGCACCAGCTCCCACCGGTCAGGCTGCACAGCCGCTGCCCCCAACGGGTTTCAATCAATTCAATTCGAACGCTGCGCCTCTGCCTCCGACCAACAATAATAATTCTTTTGGTGCTCCGCCTCCGCCGTCAGCCAATGGAGGAGCAGGAGCCTATGCCAATGGACCAACCCCAGTGGGAGCCCCGGGTAGTGCGCCGCCACCGCGCACCATTACACCGCAGAGCGTGGCCAGTGGCATCAATCAGATGAGCCTGAACAGCGGACATTTGGCTGGCCTGCCGCATATGCCGCCGCCCAAGTCTGCAGCGCCCCAGAACGCAGCAGGAGCTGCTCCGCCACCAGCCCTGGGAGCGCCAGGAGCTCAACCAGCTGCAGGACCCTTTGGTGTCAGCACCTCAAGACCCGGACAGCCGCTGTTGCCCCCGGGCGCAGGTGCTCCGCCAACATTTACGCAAGCAGGACTGCCGCCACAGTCGCAGCCGGGATTGCCACCCATGCAGCAGGCCGGTTTGCCGCAGCAGTCGGGCCTGCCGCCCATGCAACAGCCGGGACTGCCACCACAACCGCAGCCAGGAGCAGCCTTTGGAGCACCACAGCAGCAGCAGCAGCAGCAACCAGGAGCGTCCTTTGGGGCACCACAGCAGCAGCAGCAGCCAGGAGCGCAGTTTGGTGCACCACAGCCTGGCGGTTACCCAGGCAGCTATCCAGGCGGTCCACCGCCACTTCCCGGCCAACAACCAGCAGCAACGCCACAATTTGGAGCACCACAAACAGCTGGTTATCCTGGACAGCATCAGCCAGGAGCGCCAGGATATCCACCACAACCCGGACAGCAGCCCGCAGCGCCAGGATATCCCCCGCAGCCCGGCTATCCGCCACAGACCGGACAGCAGTCCATGCCGGGCTATCCACCGCAACCAGGACAACAGCCAGGAGCGCCAGGATATCCTCCGCAACCAGGACAACAGCCAGGAGCACCAGGATATCCCCCACAACCAGGCGGCTATCCAGGGCAGGCAGGACAGCAGCAACGTCCTGGATTTAATGTGAGTAAAAAGTGCCATTCCCGTGGGTATTCTTTCATCACGAATCAATCTTTCCCTTGCAGCAACCTCCCATGCCTGGAGCTGGCAACATGTACCAGCAGGCACCGCAGCGACGCCTCGATCCCGACCAAATGCCGAATCCCATTCAAGTGATGATTGAGAACCAGAGGCTAGCCGGTGGACCGTTTGTGACCAATCAACCGGGTCTGCTGCCGCCGATGGTGACGACCAAATTTGTGGTGCACGATCAGGGCAACTCGTCGCCGAGGTTCCTGCGCTCCTCACTCTACTGCATACCCAACACAGGAGATCTGCTGAAGACCACAGCTCTGCCACTGACGCTGAACATCTCGCCGCTGGCACGCACCGTCGAGGGAGAGCTAGAGCCGCCCATCGTGAACTTTGGAGACATGGGACCGATTCGCTGCAATCGCTGCAAGGCGTACATGTCACCCAATATGCAGTTTGTGGATGCGGGAAGGCGTTTCCAGTGTCTGATGTGCAAGGTGTCGTCAGAGGGTGAGTGTTGGAGAAGCTTCAGGGATTCCTTTTTGTATGCTAATGTTTTGGTTTCTGTACCTATGACAGTACATCCCGATTACCATCAGCATTTGGATCATACCGGACAGCGTGTGGATAAGCATGAAAGACCTGAATTGCTGCTGGGAACCTACGAATTCCTAGCCACCAAGGATTACTGTCGTGTAAGCGAAAGGGAAAACACCCAAGAACCAAATCCTGTTTATCCAGTTTATTATTTATTGCCTTTCTCCTCCAAATACAGAACAACGTTCAGCCAGAGGTGCCTGCATTTATCTTCATTATTGATGTATCCTACAACACGGTCAAATCGGGTTTGGTTCATCTGCTGTGTGCCCAAATCAAGAACATACTCAAGCATTTGCCGGTGGATCAGGGCCAGGATAAGTCCAAGGTGCGCGTCGGTTTCATCACCTACAACAGCACCGTGCACTTTTACAACATCAAGAGCAATCTTGCTCAGCCACAGATGATGGTTGTTGGTGATGTTCAGGAGATGTTTATGCCCCTGCTCGATGGTTTTCTTTGCCATCCAGAGGAATCGGCAGCCGTCATCGATGCTCTGATGGAGGAGATACCTCGCATGTTTGCAGACACCAAGGAAACGGAAACGATTCTGTATCCGGCCATACAGGCAGGCCTGGAGGCACTCAAAGCCTCCAATGCCGCGGGCAAGCTGCTGGTGTTCAACTCCACGCTGCCCATTGCCGAGGCACCGGGCAAACTAAAGAATCGCGATGATCGTAAGCTGCTGGGCACCGACAAGGAGAAGACTGTGCTGACGCCACAGGTGACAGTGTACAATACGCTCGGACAGGAGTGCGTGCAGCAGGGCTGCTCGGTGGATTTGTTTCTCTTCAATAATGCGTACATCGACATTGCCACCATTGGACAGGTGGCGCGCTTGACGGGTGGAGAGGTTTACAAGTATACCTACTTCCAGGCGGATGTCGATGGCCAGCGGCTGATCGAGGACATAATCAAGAATGTCTCACGACCGATTGCCTTTGATGCGGTTATGCGTGTGCGCACATCGGCGGGCATACGTCCCACAGAGTTCTTTGGACACTTCTTCATGTCCAATACAACGGATGTGGAATTGGCCAGTATTGGTGGGTACACAGACCCTTTCTTAGCTTAACTTTTGTCTTACATTCAACCTCTTTTAGATGCCACCAAATCCATAAGCATTGAGATCAAACACGATGACAAATTGCCGCCCGAGGAGAACATCTATGTGCAGGTGGCTTTGCTGTATACCTCCTGCAGTGGCCAGCGTCGTTTGCGTGTCCTCAATCTCGCTTTGCGCGTGACCACCACCATTGCGGATGTATTCAAGAGCTGCGATCTGGATGCCATTATGCTTTTCTTTGCCAAACAGGCCTGCTTCAAGCTAATGGAGCATTCTCCCAAGCAGGTCAAGGATAATATAATTCACCGCTCGGCACAGATTTTGGCCTGCTATCGCAAGCATTGCACTTCGCCCACATCCGCGGGTCAGTTGATACTGCCCGAGTGCCTCAAACTGCTGCCGCTGTATGTCTCGTGCCTGCTCAAGAACGATGCGATATCGGGTGGCTCCGACATGACGCTGGACGATCGCTCCTTTGTCATACAGTTTGTGCTGTCCATGGATCTGAATATGTCTGTGAACTTTCTGTATCCCAGATTCATTCCCATACACAATGTCAGCGCTGAGGAGACGGAGCTGCCGACACCAGTGCGCTGCACGCACGAGAAGATCACAGAGGATGGCGCCTACATACTGGAGAACGGTGTGCACTTGTTCATTTGGCTGGGCCAGTCGCTGTCCCAGAACTTTGTGCAGTCCGTGTTCGGTGTCCAGGGACTGCAGCAGTTGGCACTCGAAAGGTTTAACATTACAGCGGAGACGCCACTGGCGCGACGCATTACTGATATTCTGGAGCAGATTATGCACCAGCGTACGCGTTATATGAGGGTAAGTAGAATCTATATCTTATGTTACCCTAAGTGAAAGGAAACTCATATCTCATATTTTCTTTACAGATCACTTGGCTGCGACAGAATGACAAGCTGGAGAGTGTGTTCCGGCATTTCCTTATCGAGGATCGTGGCACTGATGGCTCTGCCAGCTATGTGGATTTCCTCTGTCACATGCACAAGGAGATCAAGGATCTGTTAAGTTAGCACGTAGGCGGCTACACATACAAGCTGCCAACAGCAGCAGCTGCCTCCAGTGCAGGTGGACGCGACTGGTGCGACAGCTATTCCCAGAATCGGGCACGCATGCGACGGCTATCGTCCATGCGCAGTCGCTTTGGCAAGTGAGGCAAGGAGTAGAGTGCATCGTGCATCGTGTGGAGTGAAGCAGGCGCTGAAACTTCAATTATATCTACATATAAATACATATACATCTATACTATATATATATTATATTATTAATTGCTATCATTTCGTGCGTATCAAATCTTCCATTAATTTTATTAAAGTTTTCACATTTTTCGCATTGTTTCCAAACAATTTCCTTTCCCCTTTTCGACCTGATTCTTGAACGCCCAGGGCCTTTAAAAAGAAAATGAAACATTTTGTTAAACGAGGCCAACAACTAGCTAAAATTTTACTCTCTTATTAAATTCCATAAATATTTAAAAAATATGTAATTAAAAATTACTTGCAAATTTCCTCACACACTGGAGATATTTTAGGATTGAGGTTTGATGATAATGATGATAGATCATGATTAGTTTTTAGATTGTCTTTTCCTACCAAGAATTTTTTAATATTTTTGTCATATTTGTTGCAATCAATTTGCGTGCACTGCACCCTGCTTTTTATCCTCTTTACTTAATGTAACTCAAATGATTATTATTATTATTAATGTTTTAATGTGAGAATTATTCTAATTCTATGGTATTCCATGCCTCCCCTCCCTAATCACACTACTCCTCGTCCCTACCCCCTGGTCCTCGTCGTATAAATTGACAAAACAAAAAAATATAAACTGTGTGTGCAACAAAAAAACAAAAAAGATATTTTATTGATGAATGAAAAACAGATTCCATCGAAACTGATTTTTTGTGCTCTATCGGGGAAACAATCTTTTTAATGATAAAAATTAAATAAAAAATGTAAAGAATTACGAAATTGGGTTTCACAGAGAAGAAGCCTGAACCTAACAACTTTCAGACCAGGGTTTTGGCCTTGCACACTCTAACAAATCAAGCATTGCTATCAATTTTGTTTAAATTGTACAATAAATAATAAAATAAGGAAACCAGCTAAAAGCCCCGGAGGATTTTCAATCATTCTTCCTGTTTTTTATGACCTTGCAGGTACCCTTGAAATCTGCTGTTCAGTTTGAAGTTCCCCAAGTTCGCATAAATATTTCCAATTTTGCACAGTTGAATATATTAGTTTTATGTATATATATTTATATATTGTATTATATTTTATTAGTCCTTTAAATAACTAAGAATTATTATTATTTGACGTGCACATTTTACATTTACATAGATTGTGTTTTTTCGTACTCTTTTTGTAGGTAGTCTCTTCTAATTTTATTATTTTAGATTTTTCTTCACATATATTTTTTGTTAAAATTTAGAAAAGTTTTTTCTTTATAGCTGTTAGAAAAGATTTTTTCTTGTTAGCTGTTAGAAAAGGTTTTCTTAAGCAGTTAGAAAAACCTTTTTCTCGTTTCCTTTCAATCAATTTTAATGTTCCCGAAATTCAATAACAATTTAAAATAAAATAAGAAAACTATGATGAATGTCTCTGCGAGTGTTTCTGGCTGTCTGTTTCTTTGTGGGTCAGGTGCACATATACTTATGTGTGTGGCTGTACTCAAGTTTATAGTTTAAAAAGAAAGTGAAAGTGCGGAATTTGAATAACGTTTTGAACTAAAATTCCGTTTGGCAATCACAAAATAAATGTATAATTAAAAGCACACACAATTTGGGGGGCATTAAAATATATTTAAATGTTTTTTATGTGGTATGGTATGTGTGTAATATAGTAGGATCTTCAGACAAAAGACAAAATATAGATTTGCACGGCACTTACAATTAGGGGTTACAGTTTATAATTACAAAAACATTGCCATAGCTCCTATCTCCTTCGATCTTCTGCACTCTCTCTCTCTCCCGAGCTACACCCTCAAAAGTTAACTGATTTGTATTTGTTTAGCTGTTTAGATTTATTCTCAAGTCAAGTCAAGTACTCTGGAACACAAGTTATTCTTTATATTTTTTTAGAAAAAGAACTTGAAATATTGGCTAGCATTTCGTTTTTGTTTTATTCGGAATAATTGTTGAATACGTAAATGAAATAATTAACCAAAAGGTGAACGGAGCAGTTGGATTTTGCAGCTTATCTTTATATCGTATATATATATAGATTGTATATCTTTTATGGCTGCTCTTCTCTCTGGGTGTTTGCTTAAAGTTTATATATATTTATATTTGATTGAAACTGAAAGGAGTCCCATCCCAGTCACAGCAAAAAGTTTCGTTTCTTAAACACAAAAAAGCAGCAAAATATGTATTCCAGATCTGTGTGTGTGTGTGTATAAATCCTTTTTTTGGGTGTGTGTTTCTTGTGTGTGTGTGTGTGCTGTTGAGAGGATCTAAGGTATCCCATTCTATTTCGTAAACGCCATAAAGACCGCCCAAAGTATCTCATTCGCATTCGGCTTGGCCGCCTCCGTTTCAAAATCAAGATCCAGCAGCTCTCGCACACGCTTCATGGCCACCTCGTAGTCATCGTCGTTTAGCGGTGCAAATGCATTCTCAATGACATCGCTGGCATGCGCCAAAAAGATTAACGCCAGCATACGCTTATCCATGCGCTGCGGATCATTCACCCATTTGGACAACACCGAGTCTTGTATCTACAAAAACAGACAGAGAAGAGTCTCTTTAGAAGGTATTCTTTTGTGGGATTATGCCCTATTCTACCTTCTTAACCAGACGACATTTGACAACATTATCGCTGAGCGGATGTGTCGTCATATCGAAGAGCAGAAAATTTTGCTTTTCCGTTGTCAGCACACCCTTCTCCACCAGATTCTTGGCCAGACGTTCGCGCACATTTTTTAGCTGGTAGCGTAATTTCAATGGATTCCAAGTTTCACCTGAAAAACAAAATGCATTTAAATACAATTTTAATTAATATTTAAACTAATAATAATTACATACCACTAAGATATTCAATCCAACTCTGGACCGTCTCTGGTGGATCTGTTTCCTTAATGTGTTTCAGTGCCTCATCCAGAAGAACATCGCCCGTCGCCTGATCAGATTTCAAAATCAATTTTCTAGGACACAGAAAATTTATAGTAATTAATTGAAGGGCAGCTCATATGTTTATTTCCTTGGGTACACACCTTGTACATAGTCCACGTCGTCGCATGCCAGACTTTTCAATCATTACACGTCCACGGATGCCCAGTTCTATGAGAATGCAGCCACGCAATCCGCTTGATATGCAGTCATTCCAGAACGATGTGTAACCCTGCACACACAAATATGAGAATTAATACAGTCAATTAATGAGGGGGAACGCCATTAGCCATTGATTAAGTTGGAGAATTTTCCCACTGGTATATAATTAGTTCAAGTTCAGTTGCTAAAAATTCAGCAGCAATCAGCTTTATTTGCATGCAAATAACTTAAGAGGAAAGTGCTCTCAGATTTATGGCAGAAAGATGCACAAGCGAAGAGTGCAAAAGAGAATACCCAAGACTGCACCCCATTCAACATAAACAATGCAATGGTAGATCTATCTACCAATTTGAACATCCATTTACACAGCAACCTTGTCTGGCTTCCATTGATGGAAAATGTCCGAACGCAGATCACGGACCGAAAGGTTGGTTTGTGTTCTGTTCTCGTTTATTAAGCCAAAACAAATTCAACTGTTCAAAAGTTTAAACAGCTGTTGAATTCCCGCTCGAAAAGAGCCTCAGTGGCCCTGGCAACATTATTATTTATTACTGTTACTTTTGAACTCTTGTTTCTGCCGTGCAACACGTGGAAATGCTGCATTTTGGTGATTTATTTCAGGTTTTTTGGTAAAAGAAATTCTCCTAAAGATTCTTTTATTGACCTTAAAGGCAGCCAAACCTCTAATTTCTCGTCAATTGCCAAACCCTAATCAATAATGAATCATTCGCAACAGTATAACAGTCTTATCATCGATATTTAAAGGTTCTTTAATGCATATCTTTTCCAATATTGAGTGACGTTCCATGGCGTTGATAAGAAGCAATGAAAACGGATGAATAGCAAAAGCATGGGATGTGGAACATTTTCTGTGGAAGTTCCTCAAACAATTAACCAAATGGTGAAAAAATGTCTCTGATAAGATGGGAGGGACTTGGCTGCCACACAGAAGACTTTCAAGCGAAACAATGGAGACGCAGCGACACGTTCACGTCCACGTCCGTTCCCTGGTCTGCGGGCATAATATACTACTAATAAAAACAAATAGACGTCGTATCACTCATTCACAGAGGCATACATACATTACTACAGACATATATACTAGCATATGTACTTACATCACTGAGCACGACAATTGAGCGATAAAGCGAGCGAGCGAGGAGCACACCAAATGAAATACAATACAAAAATAAAGTATACCCTCCAATGGGGCACGTAGTTTAATGGCAAACAAACCAAAAATTATGCAAAATGACTTACTGAATATCTCAATAATATGCAAATTGAGAAACAGACATTTGAACACATACCATAGACAAAATGAAAGAGTGAGAGAGGTATCGAAAAACTCGTTTGATGCCGGAATGCCCCAAGCCGGAGGCTGTGTTTCATTTGAAGTTTAAGTTAAAGAAGAGCTGAAGCTACTTGTATATGTTTTAATCGTGGAGTAGCCGCTGTAACAGGAAGTTAAGAGGTGCTTCTTATAGAATAAATCATAGACTGCTGTTGTACTTCCAAGGAAAAATAAATTAAAGTGCGCTTTCGCTGTGGCATGTAAAAAACTCAAGATACAAGGCTCCCACTTGACATCAACTAACTATACCGAATAAATCATTAAAATGATAGAATATTTACAGAAAAAATAACGATATATTTGCCGCCTGTTGAATGTTACCAAAGATCTGTTTCTTAGTGTCCGAATACCGTTTGTTCCATTATCTTTGTATTTGAATCAAGTTTATGCTGCCGCAACAGCCTGTGGATTGGACTAAACGCTGGCCTCAAGCTACAAAAATCACTGATTAAAAGAGAATACCAAGAATAACTTTAGATAGCGGCCAGCATTGAATTGAAACAGAATTAAAACTCATAGAGAATAAAGTAGCAACCAGCAGATAAGCAAAACGTCACAAGAGACACAGATTTATGGCCAAAACAAGTGGAGGCAGGGGAAGGCAAGGCAGACACTTGCTTTCCAAGCAAAATGCAACTTATATGGGGGAAAAACATTTAAAGTTTATTGCACAACAGACCTCCAAATGGTAAGACGAACGAGCAGGGGGGCACACGACAAGCCAAAAATGCAATAAAGGGTAAAGAGCAAGAGATCGCAGTCGAAGCTGGCAACATCTTTAACAAGCAATTAATTAGCACTCGAGCACGAAAGATAAGGCGCGAACAAACTCCACTCCACCGCACTCCACTTCCTCTTTCTTTCTATCTGTGAATGTTTTTTGTTTTTCTTTTGGGTAACGCACCTCTTTATCCTTGAGGCCCAGCAACAGGACTTCCTCCATAAGCGTCAGCCGTGTCTCCTTGGAGTCGCCATCATCGATGTTATCCTCCTGATCCTTGTTGCTATCGTTTCCATCTTGATTGTCGTCTGGAGTATTGGCATTCAAGCCACCAGCTGCACCCTCGGCACCGTTCTCGCGAGACTTCACGGTGCGCCTGACCAAGCCATCCGAGCGATTCATTTTCTGATGGAAGCTACAAATGTGATGATGGTGATGATGATGTTGCTGTTAACGCTGGCTGCTGGCGCTTTGCCCTGCCTGGTTGCTGTTGCTGTTGCTGGTTCTTTTTGTGTGTGTGGCACAAATTGCTGACTCGTCGGCTGCTACGGTTTGCTGGTGGTTGCCTGTATGCGCGCGGTCCTCTGTATATTGTTTTGTGTGTTGTTAGTTCTGCTTCTTTGTTGTCCCCCCAAACTTTTCTCTGCTTTTTGCACACACGCACTTTTCACGTCTTGCACTAGATTGCACTCTCCCACAAAACCGTGACGTCGTTGGGTCTCTCGTTGCTTGTTTACCGTTTATTTTTTGCAATATAACTCTCCAATTTAATATAATTTAGCTACACATTCTAAAGGTTTACTCGCATTTAGTTGCGTTTACTTTACAAATATGAAAACTTGGACAAAATAAGCTTTTTTTATTTTTTGTCGTCGCTTCTGTTTCTTCGACGTGACATTTTCTTGCCTAGTGTTGGAAAGCGCATCAACCATTGGGCTGGAAAACTGGCTCAAACACAGATTCACACTTGAAACAAATGAAAACCAACAAGTTATTTGATTATTTTATATTAAATTGGTAACTAAAACACTCACTTTATACAGTTCAATGCAATTTTTATGTACACTCAACAGCTGTTTGGCCAGTGTGGTAGGATGGTTGTGCGATACTTCACCTGCCATCGATAGTCGTGCCATCGATGTATTTGCCAGCACTAGTAAAAAAAACATTACACAGCTGAAGGATTTTTCGTAAAATTTCTTACTCATTTTCACTGCCACGCCCACGCCATGTCGTATTTGGCCAACTTTAACAACGAGAATGCCAAGCAAATACTGATGGACATCATTCGGTGTGTAAACCAGCCTGAAAACTCGAAAAAACTGTCGCAAGCCAAGGCCTCGGCTGGCAAGGAAATGTTATTAATGATGCAGCACGTCTTCCCCCTGGTCATGCAACTGCAGCTGGAGGTAATCAAGGGCCATGGATTCCCGGCTAATCGCGAGGGCCTAGTGCAGTTTTCGCAGCTCGTACGGGAAATGGAACGCGATGATATGGAAATTGCACGCCTGCGCAGTCAAATTCGGGCCATCTACCTGCCGCCCATAGCTATAAATACAACAAATGATATACTAATTTAGTAGGAAGTGTATTACCCCCCCCTTGCACCCAAGACTGTACCTAGGCTTAAGTTATCTCTTCACACATTAAAAGGCGAAGTTTATACATTTTTGTGTGTTTTTTGTGTAATTTTTACAAAGTTTTGATCGTCTATTGCTAAAAACAATAAGTAACATGGCATATAGTTCATTTCTATAAACAATTAAGGATTTGTGCCAGTCCACGACATATATATATAAATTATCGTCAGTTCCGAGTCTAGGATATGCAGCCCCCCAGCTTGCCGGGGGGTGGATACATTAAACAATTTCTTCATAACTACAATGTAAGGATATTGCCTTAAAAACTAAGCATTTTATGTACACGTCAAGTAAGGAGAGCTGCCCTTGAGTAAATTAAGCGAGCATAACTAGTGGTTGCCATGCCCATTTGTGGTCGGTGAATTATTGTTGTTGCCACTTTGATGGTCTGTCGTTGTAAGTTTCACTGGATCTATGCTGGCCAGGTCATTGCCATTTAGTTTATGCTGCAACTGCTCTAGCTGCTGGGCAAAATGCGCATCCTCCGCTGATGTGGAGCTGCTGTCGGCATCGATTGTTAGCGACATCGACATGGGCGAGTGGGGCGTCAAAGGCGTTGTGCTGGCACACAGTTCCTCAATCGTTGAGTCGCTTTGATTCGAGAGCGTGCTGGAACGTGAACGCACTGGATATTCATCGTCTAGGGGCAGGGCAAAGCCCTGTGTAATCATCAAATCGCCAATATTCAAATCAGCTCCTTCGGCGGGATCAAACAGCTCCACGCCTGGCAATGGTGTGCCCTCACGGGCGGCTGCATTCACTGCCGAGCTCACCTTTGGACGCTCTTTGTAGGTGACAACACGTGCGTTAAGCTTACGCCAGTGGGCCACTGAAATGAACAATATTTGTACCCATTCATATCAATTTTTAAATGGGGGTCTAACTTACCCTCTGTCATCTCTTCAAACTTGGTTATGGATGATTTTGGCCAAGTATTTGGCTCACTGCTAATGGTGGACTTGACATTGGCCAAAAAGCATTCAACAGCTTGGAATCTAAGAGGAAATTTTAGCACAAATTATAGCCATAGCTGTAACCCAGCGGTATGTGACTCACCTGAGTGTCAGGAAATCGGTGCGCAGCTCACAAATGTCCGCTGGGGAAATGTACTCGCTGTCGCCGTAGTCCACAAAATAAAGATCAATCACCAGCTCCTGGGGATTGTATTGGTTGGGCATAATGTCAACGATCTCAGCGCGATACCATTTCTCATCAAATTTAAATACAGCGGCCACAATCTGACCCACATAGGGTGCTGTGAGGACATGTTTGGCTCGGTTCTCGGCACTGCTATAGTAGTTGGTCATCTCCTTGACCATATCATCGAGTTTCTTCGACTGCGGACCCACCAGTTGCACCCAAAACTTGGTGGGCGAGGCCACAGCGGAGACATACACCTCCATGGGCTTGTCATCGCCACGGGCAGCCATCAGTTTGTCGCGCGGCTGCATGGAGCTGAGTGATGTCTGCGACGAGTACAGGCTGGAGCAGGCCACACTATTGGTGGGCGAACGGCGTGGCTCACGACGTTGCTCCACTTCCTCGACGGAACGCAGCAGCTCTTCTTCCTCCTCGATCTGATCGTCCAGCAATTTGCGTGCAATATTCACTTGCTTCTGATTGCCCACCAATGTGATCTTTGCCTTGCCATTCCGTCCGTTTGTGTCGATTGTGACCTTGGCCAACGAATGGCGTCCAATGTCCTGGATAATCTCGCCACCACGTCCATTCAGTTTGCTCACCAGCCGCTGTGGCACCTGCAGCTCCACCTTGACAACGGGTGCACGCTCCAGGTCACGTATGAGCAGCACACGGGCTGCCTTCACGGCCTCGGGTATGCCGCTAATGTCGCAAAATTTTTGTTGGGTGTCTTTATCGCTGAAAAGAAAGGAATTTCGGATAGATATTTGGTTTCTGCTGCAATTTTGATCAAACATTTAAATCCAATTACCGTAATCTTATCTTGGCCGTGGTCCGTTCCTCAATCAGCTTGATATTGGCACCGCCGCGGCCCATAATCACCGGCACATGGTCGTTGTCCACCACCATTTTGAGAACAATTTCCTTTGGCCTCTGCTGCTGCTGCTGCTGTTGCTCCAATTCTGATTGATTTCTCCTTTCTTCTTGGTCATCCTCATCGCTGCGATTCTTAAAGTATGCGTACAGCATGGCACCGCCCAGCGAACAAAGTCCCAGACCCAATATCAATTTATATGTGGGCGTGCCAAGAAAAGGATTATTGCGCAACATTTTGTAGGATATATTTTAGTTTGATAATTCAAGTCTCAAATCTTGATTATTCCTTGGAGCTGGCTGTCAAACTGCAAGAGAAATAGATCAAAGAAATATTAAAGGAAAATTGTTAAGACTCTGGCCAAGGTCTCTGTTAATATTTATTGCGTGTGTGGTACCCGGTACGAAACTTGTACTTAAAATAGAATAAAATACGACTTTGGGTAGGCATTAGCTGGGTGTAAGTGAATCGATAGAGGACGGGGGTTAGGGGCTTACATAAACACTTATCAACTGGACATTCAATTTGACAAATTTCCGACAGAACACAAATGAATTTTGGCACACAATTCGCACAAAAAGTGACTTCATAATTGAAATTGCCAGAGACAGAGAGAGAGGGAGGTGCTCGCTGCACAGAAAATAGATGTGTGACGCTACCTGGTGGCGAGAACACTATGCAACAAATTTTGAGCTGAAGCAGTTGCAACAAGGGATTTTCCTTGTATTAAATGGGTTCGTTCCCCTTACATTAAAGCAAATTTATCAGAATTTAATTGAAATTATCAGAGTTAGGCAGTCGTTTGGCATTTATTTTTGAAAATTCTCTAGCATTCTCTTTTGCAGCTTTCTCTTGTGTGGTATTCGCTTACGGGACAACCAGTGTTAAAAGTCTTTTCACGACTTGTGTGTAGGATAGTGCCATGAAAAGCCATAAAGTTTAGCCATTACTTTACAAATTAAACACTTGGGTAATGCATTGCAATTAAAGCAAAAATACATCCCGACATAGTCGTGCGAAGTGTTCTCCCTTAGCCAGTGTCCACAGTGTCTCTCGTTTTGTATACCGTCTTTGTTAAATCTCAATAAATCACAATATTGTCGAAGCTTTTGCACTGGTTCTTGGACAAGTTAAACGGGTTTATGCGCTCGTGTGTGTTATCAGACCGGTTTAATATTTATTTCCTCCAAATGCACTACACAAAAACTAAGCTCCTGTCTATCTATGTACTTTACTGATAAAAAACAAATTAATGTTGGGGAATACACGATAAACAACACCAAAAATAACTCATTAATTGGCTTTTTTTTCGTTGTTGTGGCGCTGACCTTGATCGTGATTTTAGCTGTAGACTGTTTGCTTTTGCATTAAAGCTTTTGGTTTGTTTTTTTTTTTTGTAATTCAAACAAATGCTTAAACTCAATGAAGCGTCTTATTTGAGTCGACAATCGCTGCGTTGTTTGGTTTTTCCATTTTCACGTCGTCTAATTCGTTCGAAAGTCGTAAAATTATTAATTCTCGCCAGACAGAGCTTGCCGTCGCCTCTACATTTCAGTATAAACTGTGGAAAATAAATCAAATTTAAATTTTTGGCCCCACAACGGTCGGTCGAAGCAGTTCCCCTTACGAAAGAGAGCCGCCATCAGCTGTTCTTACTCTCGCACCAATACACGAACACAAGAGAGCGTCTGGCTTCGTTCTTATTGTTTACTTTGCCGGTTCATTTTGCACGGTATTGATGGTATAGAAGGGTATATTGTTTCAATGCACATGTGTGTAGCTGCTGGAAGAAAGTTTTGGCGAACTCATAATGTATACATTTATTGATATCTTCATCCCTAATATTCAAAACTATATGTGGACACCTGTTGCTTGCCAATTGGATGTTTCCCTTTACTGTGCATCCAAGCACACAAACCATATTACAGGGTAGCCCATAATCGTAAGGTGAATAAAACCATTTGAAAGCCTCAAAAAATGAATAGAGCTGCATAAGCACATGTATGCGTATGACTCTGGTAATTAACAGCAATTCGACTATTGGCATGAATACAAATAATGAAAAGCAAACAAAACGTATATTAGCTAGCGGCAGCGTGTCTGATGCAAAGTAAGCGAAGGGAGAGGCAAGAAAGAGCGTGTGAGCGATAGAAAAGCTTGAGCCGAACAGAGGGAGAGTGCGCAGAGTGCTAAATTTAGTGAAATGACATAATAAACCGTTCATTTGGCTTAACTTGCTGTTGTGACACTTAAGGACGCCGCTAACTGTACAATCGAACAGAGTTGATTTATGAATGGAACTGGGGGACAACTAGGATTACAGTTAGCTTAAATAGATTCACCATTAAGTGCCGTACATTTGCTTTTAGCTATGGGGGGACGTTCCCAATACTCTCGGAAAGCAACATTTTGTTTGCCAACTATTGTGCGTTTCGTTTGCGAAGAGGTCACGCGGTGAAAATGCTTGGGATGAGTCGAATTTTCTATTGGCAAAGTTTCAAATTTGTATTTCGCATGTACGTTCTATTTATTGTCTCCGCCTGCCAGCCTGTTGCTAAATAAAGCCGCATTCACAACAAAAATCGACGTCATCTAAAGGTATTTAATAATCCACGAGGCTATTTGTAGAAACTTTCCTGAACAAGAATAAAGTCTATCATTCAGTGGAGTATATTATTTGCATTTTAGATTTGTATGCGCTGCAGGCTTCAAAGCTTTGTGAAGTTCTTAATGAAAAACCAGTTTGTCGAGGCAAAGGTAGAATTACTACTCGCAAAAGGTAAAAAGGTCAACCGAGTGGGTTTTAAATTGCTTTAAACTTGAATAGTTATGCACGTACACTACACACACACGGATGTACATGAATGTGCGTACAACTGATAGTAAAAGTGATGCGAATTCCGTAGCACGGCTGGCATGTGTGCGTGTGTCTCGTCCATTCAATGCGTAAACTTACCCTCTGCAGCTGGCTGTATGCCCGTCTTTGTGTCCTGCTGTGTTTGTTCTATGGCTAATTTGTTTATGATGTCACTATTTAACCATTAACTTGAGTCCTGGCTAAGAAGCACGATTTGTTATTGCAATTTGACAAAAAAAGCCGAGTCCGCTTAAAAACGTGCGAAGCAGTGTGACCGCGGACTTATCGACAAAATGTACCGACAGACCCTAGGAAATATACCGAAAAATACCGTTGCCTTTTGAAAATATACTGTAAATATACCGTGAATCTTAAATTATTTTTCCTCGATTTTGATGTTCTATTTGATATTACCAGCTTGCAAAGACTTTTAACACTGAAACACTAATTTAATCCGTTTGAAGAAACAATTTGACGTATTTTAAATACTACTTTTTATTGGTTTGCATATCTTGTTTTGATGAACTCAGTTTCGTAGTCAAAATATCCAATGTACATCCATGAAACAAGCCGCCTGACCATCAGAAATGTACAAAAATATACCTATGGAATTAGTTCACTTAGCCCCCTCCATTTACAGAGGTGAACACCAATTTCTTTAATATAACCTTATAGAGGAAAATAAAGCTGTATATTGATGAAATTGACTATCAACTGAATGTGGTAGTAAAACGAAAACAAAATAAACGAAGACAGGAACAAACGTGTCTCAACGTATCAAAAGAATGTCCAAGCACGTTCTTTGTTCTTTCTATGGTTATGTAATGATATGGGGAAATATCATAAATATGTCTTAATTTTTAATATGTTTTTATTATGTTTTATTTATTTTTATGTTTTTATTACACGTCTTGAGTTTACCCGCGACATTTGAATTTGTTAATCGATGCTGAAAAGAAATATCGGTACTTTTGTGCGATAGGAAGAACTCATCGGCTTTTGTAAAAATTGATATGACCATAAACTGAAATGGAAAATTTGTCAAGTAAACAGTGCTGCCCCTTGGCGGGAAATTTCAAATAATTATTCAACAGAATTTTCATATATCTTATCAGCGATTCATGCGATTCCACGCACCTCAATTTGGCGACATAAACTTTCGGCACAGGTATTTCCCTTTCATCTTGTTCGCCCTGCCCAGTGGGCGGTTTTAATTTGTGCAACGTTTTGCACAAATTGTCGAAGGGGAACGCAGTTTTTGTTTTTTTTTTAATATGTTTTAAGTAATTTGTGCACATTTGCGAATTTTTATCGCGGGCCACAAAACTTTGTCCTTTGTTCTTTTCGACATGACAACGAGCGAGTGCGCTCCGGCTGATGGTTGGCTCTCTCTCTCTCTGTCTCTCTCAGCCGTGACTGTTGTTGGCGCGGTTGTAATGATGACTTTATGACTTTATTTACGTGCAATAAAGGAAACATTTCGCTTTTGCCCCAGGCCAGCTGCCCGGATCCGCAGCCGGGCTTTGAGCATCCGGCCACTACTTCCGAATATAAATGCGATTTTCAAGTTAATTTATTCGGCTGCCCCTGTGATGCTTTTTCATTTTCCTCCCTACCAGAAAAGGAGAATCCGCAGCAGGCTGAATTTAAATGCGTTCTTAGTTTTTGGGCTCGAATATGTTAAATACTCGGCCCTCTACCTTTGCCAGGGACGACAGTCCATGTCCTGGCCGAGTGTGTGGGCGCTGCCAAGTGCTGGGCCATGTTAACATGTGCTTGCGCCTGACGCATGTCTTGCTCAAGTTTTTGCACAAATTTGCATTTCAATGATTAAAGTGTTAAAAAGTTGGACGCAGACAAAAGGACTAGCCTAATGGCTTTATAACAGGCCAAACATCTCTCGAGTCAGATGCGTTTTTAATATACTTTCACACCATGAACAAAAGCTGAAGCATGCTGCTTGGCAGGGTGTAAAAACTTAAACTTTAAAATTTAGCATTCAACTTTTTTCAAATTTAAATTCAAACTGATCTTCGCGGTCAGCGCGGCTATCGATAGTTGCGTGTGCGTGTTTGTGTGCCCCCCTATCGATCCTGCTCTTTGTTGACATTTGGCCAAAACAACTCTGACAGCGAACCAAAAGTTGTGTGAAAAGTTAGAAAAGAATTCCGTGTCGCCTGTCCATTCAATTTAAGCATCTAGATTCCAGTGCCGCAGCCAATTAGATAAATCACTCGCTCGACTATCCGCGCGGAGTGGGGGCACCAGCCGCGGCACAAATTGCTGCTCCATTTGCATGATAAGCAGGCAGGCAGGCAGGCAGGCAGGCAGGCATCGTGGCCAGATAAAAAGGTGGAACAAAGGACGCGTGTGGTGATGGTGCGTGGTGCTTTGCCTTTTTAATTGAATTGGGCGTGCGTGCGAATTGGGGAAATGCTGAAATTTGTTGTGCTAATGCAGCCACGCTCCTGCCAAACGCTGGCAGAGAGATGGAGAGACAAAACACTTGACGTCACTAACAGCAGCAGCGGCAGCAGTGCAGACGGTGGACATGCCAGTGGTGTGAGCGTTGCGATGCACGTCAGCCGCAGTGCGTGAAATGCATTTAAAATGTTCAGCTGCATACTTGTCGCCGTCAAATTACAGCGCGTCGAGTGCAACACGCTTTGTGCATGCACAGCAGCGCGGAGAGAGAGCGGAGCAAAGCAGTGCTGTAAGTGCGAGTGAGTGCCCTGCCATGTGTTTTTGAAATGCACTTGAAGCACGCATTAGAGAGAGTGAAACAATGGCAGACAAGAACGGAATGGAATGGAACGTAACGGCTTGTCTCTGCCTTGTGAGCTTTTTCTGGGAATTGCACAGATTAACCGGTACGTACACAACGATTTAATGTAACGTAATGTAAGTACACTGCTTGCCACACAATTGATATGCACAGCCAGAAGCATAAGGAGAGAGCCATTATGGGGGGGAGACGCACTGAGCAGAGAGCTCTTACAGATCTCCAGTTTACAGTTCTGCTTGTGCGTGTGTGCGTGTGTGCGTGTGTGCGTGCGTTCTCGAAAACCCTTTTGTTTGTTTAAGCTCCGGAAACAACAAAACAAAACAAAACAAAGCAAACAAGACGACAACCGACATACGGACAGACGGCAGACTGAAGCTGTTGTTGCTGCTGCTGTTGCAGGGTTTTAGTTTACCGATGAGGCTTTTACGGGCTTAACATATTAATTAAACCTGAAGTGGAAACACGAAGCCCGACACAGGGTCAACTTTAAATTAAGTTTTAATCTGTTGCTCATATTTAAACAGCAGTCACCCAGCATCCCACCAGCCCATCCAGCATTCAGCCAGCATTCCCTCAGCATTCAGTCAGCCAGCATTTCCTTGTGTCTGTCTGACTGATGATTGTTTCGGTGACAAAAACCCAACCCAAGTGCTTATCGGTGTAGGCATTTCTGTTGCTGCAGCACACTAATTGAAATTGGTCATTTGTGGGAGGGAGACAGACTGACGCGTGACAGCAACCGAAGATGCTCAAGGGGATGCCAACTCAGGCAGCACTGAGAACAGTGTTGAGTAATTTCCGCAACTTCGCAATCCTCAACAGGTGCAGTCCGGCGCTACGATCGATAGGTAATCCTCACCCAATCATGTCCAGAAAAAACCACATAACTCTAGGC